GCCTCGTGCTTTGGAAGATGTCTTAATTATTGATAGCTAGGGGCAGGGAAAGTATAGGGGCAACAGTGTTTGAGCAACAGTTCTTCCTGCTAGGGAATAAACAGTGTCAGGCGTGGGAAGTGCCGTTCCTTTCCATCTAACCCTGCCCTCTATCTCCACAGTTTCTGGCTCTCATTTCTTTTGGCAGGAAATTCATTTTCTCATCACCCTTCTCGTCCCCACGGCTGCATTCAGCTGCAGCCTTCTCCTCTGCACCACTTCTTCACTCCTAGCAGGCAGGGAAGGCTCCCCTCACCTTCTCTACGGGGCAGGACAGGGCTGGACATAGCAGAGATGCTGCTTTCAAAATTGTCATCCTGAAGGAAGAGAAAGGGGCCCAGGCTGTCTCTGGTCACGCTGCATGAAGAAAACAAGGAAGGTAAATATAGTTCCTTTGCTCCAGCTGAAAAGAGGGTAACTTTGCTGCTGAAAATGAGGGAGCAAATGTAGCTCTATGGGAATAGAGGGGGCAACTGAGCTGAACTTTTCCTGTGAGACCTACTTACCTTAGAAAAAGTCCTAGTCCTAAAAATAAGCAAGGAAAGTTGGTGCAGAGAGCAAGCACCGTGTTAATGCTCTCTTTGAAAGTTTATCAGCGAGCTGGCAGTGGTGTCATTTTTGTAGGGCTGTTCTTGCAGGGCTTACAGTAGGGGCCAGATAAGCAGCTGTTTGTCCTGACTTCTCCTTCCTGCTTTCTCTCTGTTCTTCTCTCTTTGCTAATCAGGTTTCCTCCTGCTTGCCCTGTCAGCTGCATCCTTAGTGACTCTGTGCTCAGACCAGCTCGAGGGCTTTTCTGCCCCATCTGCTGCATCCGCTAGTAGCGGATCAGTTCACAGGCTGCCAGGAAGCCCCACGTAAGCTCCCCACTTACGTGCACAAATACTGCTCGTCTCTGATTTTTTTCAGCAGTGCAATGTAATAGGAAGCAATGTATTGAGCCCAAGACTGCAGGCCTCTGCTGGGCCTCAGTTGGGAGGCATCACCTTGGATTAAGCTAAGGGAGTCAAAGAAAGCTGCACAGCTAAACAGCAGATTCTGCTGCTATTTAATAATTTAATGATGGAGAAGTCCCTTTCCATGCAAAACGTGGAGGCCTCCATGGGCTGTGCTTGACCTAGAAGTTCAGTATCACAAAACCAGGTATTATGACTCTCTGGCCCCTGAGCTGCAAACTTCACACAGGAGTCAGTGCTAAATCCAGTGGTTGGGAAGATGAGCTGCAATGTTAATAGCGTGTCACAGCTCTTCCTGGGTTATTTACCCATGAATCCAGTTGTGTTAGACAATCACTGGCATCTTGCCCAGTGGCAAGTTTTAAGTGCACAAAGGCATTGAGTGGCAACCAAAAAATAGGCTATGTTGCATCTCATTTTTGTCACCACATCCATGCAGAGGCTCATAGTTTTTGCAATAAACTTGAAATATTTCAAGAATATTTGGCTGAATTCCCTTTATGGTTTACCCTTTCACGGAGCCTCATAATTTTTTTTTTCCTTTTGGAATTTGCATAACTTTCTAAAACTCTTTAAAAGTTGAAAACCTGGCCAAATCAAACACTGCCACAGACAAAATTCCTCCCCCAGGCAGAGGGAACAGAGGTGCTCAGTTCATACCAAGCTGAGGCTAATAGAAGAAATTGTGCAGGCTATCTTCTGTTGCACTGCTCAGACCAGCACTCCTGGGAGTTTTCACCCTTATCGCTGGCTCTAGGATATCTCCAGCTGTTTATTCTTTTGCTATTGCTTCGAAGCCCTCCTTGGGAAGTCTCCTTCTGTATCCTGTACTCCGACCACTTGTCTTTGCTGTGTACATGCTGATAACCTGGTTTCTTTCTTCCACTTACTGCTGCTTTTTGCTCTTTGGTCTGTGACTCTGGTTCACCAGGCGCTGGAGGAGGCATCGTAGGGCACACTAGCGGGACTGGGGTTGCTGGCAGCAGGTTCCTGAGCTCTTATAGTAGGAGGAGCAGCGCTTCCAGGCAGCCACTGTGACCCACCTCAGAGCAGGCACCAAGGTTAGTATGGGGCGAGGGCTATGGGAGCCAGTGTAAATCTGTCCTTGGCCTTTCCAGGACATTGGAAACAGCAGGGAGAAGAAAAGATGCAGGAGAGGAAAGCTCAGTGGCGATCACTGCCCTGAGGCTGATGAAACTCTTCCTTGCTGGAGATAAGGTAGTCGAGTGTTCGACTGAAACCTGCCCAGGGCTATTTGCTGTTAGCGCTAGTTCTTTCTGTAATGAGAGTAAGGGCTTTGATGAGGCTTTGGAGGCATGGGTCAATACTCTAAGTGTACAATTTAGAAGAAATGAAACTCACTGGTAAGTGCTGAATTAAACAATAAAAATTTAAAACAGGGAAAAACAGTAGAGAAGAACAGCTTAAATAAAATAGGGCCTTAAACCATATTTAATGGAATGTGTCCCGATTTTCAGGTTTTAGAAGCTTTGTATGACTTAAAAAAAAAAAAAAAAAAGCTCTAGTTTTTTTATTCACCCTAAGGGCAAACTGCTAAACCTATTTTTCTGCAGGGTGGAAAAAAATGTCTATTTAGTCTCTCCCTGACTTAGGCAACATATTGTAAAAGGAGAGAGGGAGTGGTGGCGTGCATGGTGCCTAGATATTCCAAGGTTAGATAGCCACCATAAACTAGCCTGAGTCAAGAGCCATTCTGCAATTGCTCTTAGGAAAGCCCTAGTTCTCAGTTACTCCTTTTACCTCAGGTTCCAGTGCATGACAAGAGCTGAAGACTTGGGTGCCTGAGAGGAGTGGTAAGTGTCCACTGATCATCCTACAAAGACTGGTTCGGGACTAGTATCTCATCCCAACTCCTTCCACCCAGAGTGGCTGGTTATGTTTGTGTTGAGCTGCAGTCAGGAGGTCAGGAGTAGCAGTCAGTTGATTTTTGTATGAAGAGTGATTGCTGGTGCCGATTTTTGTTAATGTAACGTTCAAGTATGAGAAGATCCCCACAAGGTTCAGGCCCCCCTCACTTGATGGGGTGCATTGGAGGGCAAGGGTGAAGTGACCTGGGAAATCCTCAGGCTGCTACAGCAGCCAAAAACATTTCATTAAATGTCACTGCTCCAGGAAGGGAGTAAAGGTGGTCTGAATTTGAACAAATCTAGGGTCAATCCCAATGTTGCCACAAACTTATGCAGCTCAGGGTTCAGTCTGCAGGGGCAGTGTGAGGATGCGCTAGGATAGCGAGACAGCCCCAGCTGAGTATGTTTGCTGACCATCTCTCCATGGGTGGATAGAGGGAAAGAGAAGCATGTTAGACACAATGTTAGACCCAGTGGGGCTAAGCACTGCTTACTTGTGTTTCTCTCAATTGATTTTTTTTTGTTGAGTTTTAGAACCATATTATCCATCTGGGTTTGGTAAGGAGATAGTTTGACTTGTCTCCTTCCTGACTTTGCTTGCATGAAGCATGGTCCAGGAGCTGACGCTAGCCTGGCGCTATAGTCCATGATGCTAATCAGGATGTGTCCCATCTTATGACAGAAGAAGACAGTGGCCAGAATTGGCCAGGAAGCTCTCTGGCAGGCAATAAGGTGCCTTGAGGAGCCCATAGGCTCTTGGGACCTGGGGCCAAGATCTCCGAGCCCTTCATTTGGAAGCTCAAGCTGAGACGGTGTGGCTGGGGAGACCTGGAGATAAGCAATCTCTCTAGAGAGGTGAAAGAGGGGGCAAGTGTCCTCTGCACATTGGGAAGATGCTGTATGGCGTTTTCAGTAGCTTTTCTCCCAGAATAAATGTGTTAGTGATGTGCTTCTGACTCTCTCTTTATTTTTATATATTTACTTTTCAGAGGAACTTTATCTCAGCTTTTCTGCAAAGATACAGCACCAAAATGCAGCCTGTGCCCCTGCACAGCCTTTCAGAGTTGGAAAGAGCCAGTTTGCAAGAGCTTGCCCTCTACCAGCTTCAGGAAAAGCTGCTTGTTGGAGATGTCAGCCTGACTAAAGGTAGGAGATGGGAGAAGACAGCTCCTGCTGAGGGAGGGCTGGCATGTGAGCCATTATTGCAACTCATCCCCGCTCCCGTACTTCATAACACAGGAAGATATTTATGGGATGATATTTGTGACACTTAGGACTTTTGGTTCATTTTATTTTTTTCTTCCCTGCTTTGCTCTGAGCTGCTAAGGTCTCATCTTCTGAAGGAGGCTTTGTGCATCTGTAGGAGTGTGAGAATGTGACCTTGCCTGTTGTCTGCTTTTGAGTCTCTTAATGCAAAACAGATGCAAAAGGACTTGGGAATGTCTTCCAGCGGGGCCGTACTAATACTGTTGGGATGGGATGCTTTGCTTTACTTTGTGGCTTATGTTCAGCACAAAGGTCTGATGCTGAGATGGGGCTTATGCAAGGCTAGATGTGCTACTGAAATTAGTGGTCAGATAAATTTAGAAGCTCCACAGGGACCATGATCCTCTGTCCTGACCTATATAGAAATACAGGCACTTTCCGGGTTCCCATAGCTACCTGCATGCCCTGTGATGGCTGGGTTATACGCTCAGACATCTACATAGCTAACCAAGCAAGTACAGCTAGTGAGGGACTGGCTAACCCCTTCCAAATTGTACTTGTTACTCAAGTGTTGACAGGAGATCAGCTTCAAATGCCTCTTCCCTGGGCCGTATTTTGGTATTGCGGCAGGGCAGAAGATGCCTATAGCTCGCTACTTGTACATGTTCTGCACAGTTCCGAACTGCATGTTCTCAGAGCTCTGTGCCACGCTCCTGAGGAACGAGCTTTTCCTAATATCCAACCTCAACCTCACACTGGACAGTGAAGAGGTGCCGGTGGGTAACTGCACCTACTTAGTAGGGATGAGATCCAAGTTTTTCCTGTTTTAATTAATATTTGGAAGATTTTGTGCAATGAAATAGCTGCAAGAAGAGAAAATGAGAGAAAGCTCCCCCGCCTCCCCATTCCCAGAGCATCCGATTGACCCAGGGCTGCAGTACCACCCACCACAGGCCATATTACAGTCCCTGGGGGAGCTCTGGCCACATGCATCTTGCTTTTTTTTGGTTTTGTTTTTGTTTTTTTCTTTGGAACTGTTTTAATCCTGATTTCAGTGATCCTTTGCAGTAATAACTTCTCTAGGGAACAGTGCAGCATAAAAAAAAAAATTCCTTCCTTGCTTTCACACATGCTGCATTTTGTTCATTGGGCTCCTCTCTTCCTGCAGGATAAGCACAGAGTACTGAAGAATCTGATCTTCATCCTTGCATGTATTTGGGCACTGCCTCCACCTAATCTCTGAAGGAAGCAATTGCTATCTGATGAATTCCTCCATCCTTTGGCCCATCTTTGTATCCCATAGATCTCTACTTGCTACTGCTTTTTTGCAGTTGGCTGGCCTAGGGTCAATGTAAGATTCTAGCTGAGAATTAGCTATTAAAATACTGCACTTGAAACAGTACATTCTCATCTCAGTGTTTTAAAGAGAAGTTTAGAAAATTGGGAAATGCCTGAATTTGGGCTCTGTGGTCTCTGTTTGGTCCATGCACCAGCCTGTACTTGTTCCCCAACACCTGCCAATGTGAAATTCATTCATGCCTTCTTTAATAAACACCTATTGCATGGGCATTACTATTTTCCTAAAGGAAAAGATGTTCAGCACCTCTTTTAATTCTCACTTCTCCAGGGAGGGCCTAGACTACCAGGAACATAGGGTGTACCACCCCTTGTGAACCATCCTTCAGAGCAGCCTTCAGCTTTGATACTCTTGGGGCTGCTATTCTCCTTCCTGCGGTCCTTGCCTCATTCAGTCCCAACAAACTTCTGCAGCATCTGAGACCTTCAAAGAAAATAGCCTCTTCAGGATGGCCCTTTTCAGCTACAGAGGAAACATAGAATGAGCACTATGTTTCATTTTGGCCAATCCTGCAGGAACAAGTCTGTGGTTCAAGCAGAAAGATGAAATCTTTGGAGGATGTAAGGCATTAAGCTTTTGGTAATATATCTCAGGAAAAAGTAGGTTGCCTTTATCTCCTGGGTTTGGAGTGGGTCATATGCATTACCCTGTCTTGGAGATACCAGCTCAGGCTATCTGGAGAAGGGAATCACGATAGTTTCTTTAATATCTGTTGCCTCCTGATTTGTTTTTATTAGGAACTCAAACTCTTAAGAGATGAAGTATCCTGAAACACAATCTTCTCTTTCAGACAGAGAATCCACACTGCATCTGATCAGATGCATGTGCCCTTCACTCAAGATACAATTTCCTAGGCTTTCATCTGACTTTTTCTTTTTCTTTCGTCTTGATTGGTGATGGCAGCCTTCTTTTTGGACAGGCCTTTTACACTCTTTGGGACTCGAGAGTTATTGCGATGTTCTGCCTCAGTGCCTTGGGTAACCCCTCCTGGGTCTGTGGTGAAATCGTTGAGTTTTGCCAGCCCTTTGTTTCCTCATCTGGGTATTTTATGGCTCCAGGTTGTACTCTGTCTTCTTGCTATCTGGTCATTCGAATGAAACAACACATATGATGCTGTGTAATAGTTAACATATGCTATTCTTTTATGCACATACTGTTCATACCAACTTTAATAGTTATCTTCCAAATCTTACTGAATAACCCAAACTTTTATAGAAGCTATGTCTAAGAAGAGAATTCGTTAGGAATAAGGAACAGAAGCCAGAACAGGATGATGCATCCTGGAAAGGATTTAGGGCGTATAGTGAATGAGTTTTCATTTCATTGCCACGGCAAAAAATGCTGACTGCGGTCCTTGGATGTACAAATTGGGGAATACTTTAGAAGTGGGATGTGGCTTTCTAGGACCAGTATGGGATGTCCGCATGGTATATATTTTGTCTAACTTTACTTGTCTATACTTTGTAAAGCATTCACAAAAAATTTCCCAGAGCTGTATTTCTTTTTACAGTAGTGAGAACAGATCTCTAAGGCTGAACTGAGGTACCTTTCCAAGTCATTAAGTAATCACTGGGACATCACCATTAATATAGGGTCATGTATAACATGGAGACAGAATATAAAGGTGGCCAGAATAGTTTTAACCTACAAGCTTTGGATAGCTAAGATTTCTCCGTTGGCCATTTGTGTGTGAGAACCCATTTGATGGCTGCTGTTCTCAGCCAAATTTTATGTCCTTGCCCACCACAGTCTTCCAGAGCACCTCCCATACACAGACTACATTTGGTAGCTATTCCAGTATTAGGAGTTTCCTCCAGCTGGGTGTAGGAAACTAGGGTGCTACTCAAAATATCAGCTGCAGTTCATTTTGACTCTGCTGAGTAATGCCAGTTAATTTGCTGGCCGTCTGGTGGTTCCTGAATCATTCACCCTAACTTGTAATTGTTGTGCATTGCTGGATTATTCCTTCAGGCTTGTATGGAAGGTGATAGTAAGGCTTGGTTGGGGGCTGGAGAGATTGCTGTGGGTGCAGTGGGGAGATGTAGAGGATGGGATGTAGGTGATGTGGTAGTGTGTTGCCCTTGTCTGTCATGTCACATTTGGGGCAGAAGGGACCTGGCCTGATTGCAGAAGAGGTAGAAGGATGTGTGGGTGTTGGAGAGCTGTGGTATTGGGGGAGGACTCACAGGACATGCTGTGGTACTTGTTTGGGGTTAACTCACTGCTGGGTACCTGCGTGTGGGGCGCAAGCTTACATCTGGGAAATAGCGTTGGGTCTCAACCATCAAGCAGCCTCTCTCACCCTGCTGTTGTGCACATCAATAATCCTCAGGCATGTGCCCCATGGCAATGAAAGTTTTCCTGAGCACACAGTTGGGAGGCACTGGAGTGACAGCAAAACAGGCACTTCGCAAGTGCCTATTGCTGCTGCTACCCCAATGGAGAGCGTTTTACAGGACTGTGGTCTGGGCCAGATGGTATGAATCTCGCACTGCAGGGATATCTTTAACCCAAGGTTATAGTTTGGCACCATGAGATCCTGCCATCTGGGTGCTGGGGTGCAGAGAGGTCTCCTCCTCAGGAAGGAGGTGGCCCCTCTCTGGGGCTGTGTGCCTTGGGTAGCCGATGCCTGCCACACCATCCTACATGGCCTGTTGCTTCCCCTCTGGATGACAGCTAGGGCCCTCCCCCCTCCCAGAGGCACACAGCATCCCTTTGCCTAAGTGAGATGCCTGTGACTGTGCTGGGGGTGCAGGGCTAATGTATTTAAGAGGAGGCTGTACTAAAGTAGACATGCTGCATAACCTTTGCTTTCTTTTCTCCCCGCAGTTGGCCTTAAAGGTAGTAAATCCATCCGCCAGAAACTGGAGAGCTTTTCCAAGGAGAAGAAAGGTGAACAGCTTTTCTTTTACCTAGGTTTTGGGGCATTGTTGGCAGAATTGGCGATTTTCAATGGAGCTAAACTGTGAGGTGCAGCCTGCCTAAATTCAACAAGAGATGTCGTCCCATGTTCTTTTGCTTTTCTCCAGAATTTTGTGTGTGTGTGTGTGTGTGTGCGTGTGTGCGTGCACGCACATTGTAATTATATGTATACAGACATGTGAGAGTGTATAGAAAGGAGGCATATATGTGTGTGTGTGTGTGTGTGTGTGTGTGTGTGTGTGTGTGTGACTGCACTGATACATTCATATTGATGTACACATACAGAGGTATAAATATTTATTTCTACCTGTGTATTCCACCCCCAAACTCACTGCTTTGGGTTGTGGTTTTATTGTCCCTTGAAGAATGCCAGCCACAAACCTGGGGAAAACAGAAATGTAGAGCACCCTCTAGTGGGAATTATCAGTCACTAGTTTTCTTCGAATGAACGTAAGTCCACCCAAGGACATTAATAAGCAGCAGGCTGATATTTTACAAAAGGAATTCCTTTTTCATGTAACTTATGCTTCAGTTGCAAAATCCCTTGGCCTAGGGTGGAGTGGAGGCTGGAAGTAAGGCAGGAGGCTCCTTGAACCTACAAGGAGGTGCAGGGGAAATGTTATGTGGGAAAAATGCCATTAATATCAAGACTGTCACCTTTGAACAGACATAATTGATGCAGGTTATTTTAGCCAGGCATGCACATGTGTTCTTGGCAGCTGGCCTTTGCTAGTGTATCTCCCTCTTGTTTTTGCTGCTAGCAATACTTTTCCATTTCTCCTGTGTTTCTCCCTAGACTGCTCTCCTCAGACTTTTGGGATCCCACTCTTCCAAGTCATCAACAATGATCGCACATACAAGCAACTGCAGGAAGCGGTGAAGAGCAGTCGCCGGCTCTGCTTGGAAGTGGAAGCAACAGTGATAAGATTTCGGGCTCAGATCCAGAAGAAGTCCTCAAGTGGCAGAAGCTGCGGGCTGGTACCCTGCAGGGTGTTCCCTGAGGAGCCGCTTTCCCCCACTTTTCTTGACAACAGCTCCTGGAGCCAGCGAAGGGTATGATTGCAAAAATGAACTAAACTGTGTGGCAATCTCATGCTGTGATGGCACTGCAAGTGGGGGAAGGCCCTAACTTCAGCAATTAATGTATTTTCCTAGGGTCTCAATGAATGTAAATTATTCATGCTGTGTGCTGGGTTGGTCCCTGACTGCTCTCAGGGAAATGGGATGGACAGGGTTCAAATGCTCAGGGACCACTTCCACCCTAAAGATGGATGATGTAGGGTGTGCCACTGTGTGCTGGTTCGGCTCTTATCAAGCCTGAGAGCTGAGGAAAGTCAGGTTTACTAAAAAGTCATGGCCATGGTACAAAAAAATCATTGGAGGTGGGTGTAGATTCGTCATCATAGTGTGGATTTTTCTGCCCATCCATTGCATCAAGGCTTGGCAAGCAGCACTGTGAACAGATGTGAATTCTCCATGGAACAGTCACCTTTTTTGGCTGAATTCTCAGCAGAAGCCCTGGCCTCTGATGGTGGGTCATGTTAGCTTCCTGGCTTCGCAGCAGGGTCAGACCCCACACTACTGTGGGGACATCGACCATGTCTCTGAAGTGCTGTACTTTCACTAGTGATGCCCCTTGCATCAAAGGACAAGGAAGACAATGCAGCGGGTTGGCCCTGGCCTCCTCCTTCTTGGTGTTAATCTTGTTTTCTGTGAGGGGATTGCTCAGGTTTGGTTTGCCTCATCTCTTTGGACCCAGGCTTGCTTCTTGCTAAGTGCCTGTAACTCTTGGTGTAGAGCAGCTTCAGTAGAGGTAACTAAATCCAGCATACATACTGCACAGTCGAAGACGAAAGATGTGGGGATGTTTCCTCTTTCCCCGTGTCAGTCACATAGACCGTGCCCCAGTAGGAAGGGTGTGTTTAGAAACACACATCATACTAGGAGCAGTATGTATAAATGTGAATGTGGTGAAAGGTCCCTCTGTGGTTCTCTTGCAACCCAAGATAGGCACTTTGTAGACCTCTGCATTTGTTTGTTCAGAGGTGATGCTTCCCCTTCCCATAGACTTCTGCGGTCACAGCAATGATGGTGTACTGGGATCTCGCAGAGTAGTTCCTGCCACCCTGCAAATTACCTCTGTGCTCTGTCTCAGGGGGCAATGTCCGTGGACTCCATCACCGATCTGAGTGACAACACTTCCAGGCTGCTGGAGGCACTGCAGTTATCACATCCCCATGAGCTGCATCTGCGGAGAAGCCGGGGCAAGAAAAAGATGTTGAGCCTCAACCCTATCGCTTGGCAGGTCCCAAGGATTGTGGACAGATGTTGCAAACACATTGAAATGCACGGTAAAGAAGCATTTCTCTCCAGCCAGATGGCCAGTCCCAGAATAGACCCGCAGTAAGTGTTCAGCTGGCGTAGTTTGGCCTCACAGTTTCTAGAGATCAGAGGAGGCAGTTCATTTTTGTGGCAGGATGCGCTGCCATCTCCTGCCCCTCAGGAAGAGTCCTCTGAGGTAGGTGCAGTCTCTGGGTAGAGAGGGGAATGTCACCCATGCATATCAGTGACCTATTCCTCGTCTGCTCTGGCCTTAACTCCCCTGTGAATCCAGTTTATAGCTCAAAGTGACTATAAAGGTGAATTCTCATCCCTGACCCACAGATTATTAATCCTAGGCAAATCTCATGGCTCCAAAACTTTTGTTTTTATCCTCTCTGCCAGGGGCGGAGAAGGACAGACTGCCTCACATGCAGTATGACAGAACTGTTTCCATGATGCTAATCTGCTTGAGGTGCTCTGAGGACCATTCGGGGCTGTAGGGAGTTGTGTGCGTGCAGAACATTAATCTGTCTGTCTCTCAGGTCTCCAGACAGTGGGCATCTTCCGGGTTGGGAGCTCCAAGCAAAGCGTTGAGCAGGTACATTTTTTTACAGTACTGCATTCAGAGGCCAGATGTTTGTATGATAAAGGCATGAATAAAGCAGACATTGGCATGCAGAGATCTAAAATATCACAGGTACATCCTGGAGCATTGACAGTCTGTAAACTGCTGCTCAGGGAGACACACTGGTCCAGCTGCCAGCCACTGGAGCCTTGTCCCAGCCTTAGAGAGAAGTCTTCGTTCCGCTTCGTGTCTCAAAGCTGCCTTTAGCAGATAAGCCTGTGTCCCCTGGTGGGCATTTCAGCATTTCCTGGGGGCTCCATTCATCAGCTCCATTCTGGTTCCCTTGTCCTCCTCTTTGCAGCAGCAGACTATCAGGCTATGGCAGATTTGCCTTCTCTGGGTGTCCCCTGCATTGGGGGGCGGGGTGCAGCCAGCCAGCCAGGGATGTAGCCAGTAGCCAGCCAGCTCAGATGCTGATCATGGCTCATATAAAGAGGAATAACTAATAGTCACTTTTATTCTTTTCATTTCCTCCATCTTCAAGCTGAGGGAAGAGTTTAACCAAGGACTGGATGTTTTCTTGGATGAGCATCAAAGCGTTCATGATGTGGCCGCTCTGCTCAAAGAGTTTCTTCGTGACATGCCGGATTCACTGATTCCCAGAGAGCTCTACGAAGCCTTTCTCAGCACAGTATGTAAGTACCCGGGATGTGTTGCTTCCACTCTGCATAGTCTACCCACCAGGTTTGGTTGCATAAGGAAAAAAGATCCGTGAGGAAATTTAGTTTTTGTGCAATTGCGTGGCTCAGTCCCAGGCCCCAGCACAATTCAGTCTGTGCTTATGTGGGAGCTCAGCCCAGCTGTACTGGCATTTCTTTGCGTGCCTGCATGATCTATAAGGGCATCCTTGCAAATGCTCTGCTCAAGTCTGCCTCATTTCAAGTGACTGAGCTTTTAGGCAGACTCCACTGCTCCCATCCTCACTCTTTCTTGGTCCCCTTCATCATCTCCTTGCTTCCCTTTTTCTATCCTTATCATCTCCTCAGATTTGATTTCCTAAATCCTTGAATCTTTACCTCCATATCAAAACTGAGCAGCTGAGTACCAGTGGGCTTGCTTCAGGTGCTGTGCAATGTTAGGCAGCAAGACAGGGCACGTGGTGGAGGGAACAAAAGTGTACAGGGGCTTGGGGGAATGTACAAGGTAATTTTCTGTTCTCTAGCCCAAGTACCTAAGCCTACAGCACACCTACACTGCAAAGCAGATGTACAGTCGAATCTGTCCCTGTTGAAATCACCCCCAGAGCAAATGCATGGGGCTACAGTTGTGTCTGCTAGTTGTCATGGGCATGTACTGCTGAGTTCCTTCAGGCTAAATGTATCCTGAGACTGGAGCATGTCTCAGCACGGGATCTCCTCAACAAAATCAGAAAAGCCTGGATAGTGATGAAGATGGAAGGCTGGCTGCAGTGCCCATCGTCTCTATTTGTGCAGTGCTGTACTTTGAACAATAAGCAGTAATGGTCTGTATCTCGGCAGGTGATGGGGGACACCTGGATCAAAGGGAAAAAGCAGGCCAGTACAGCATCCTAGCTGGAGGTGGCTGTGCTATCTCTACTTTATAGTCTTTTATTTAAAGTCCTAGATGTAGAATTTGCATAGTCATATATGTACTCATATATTATATTGGATGTGAGCCTGCTGATTGGCTATTTTGCAAATCTACAATAATTTGAGCGGCCAGCTCCTTCAGGGTTTTGTAAGACTCCTCTACAGAAAGGTTGTAGAGTGTATCTGGGAAGCTATGGACCAGTTATGCCCATCCCCGACAAGAAGGGAGAGTCTGTGATGAAGAATGAGATCATGGAGCACAGGGATAAACATAGGCTACTGAAAAAGAGTCAGCATGGCTTCTGCAAAGGGAAATCCCATCATTCTGCCCTGTGGGACTCTGTGAGGGCACCAGTAACGTGAGGACAAAAGGGATCCAGTGGCCAATGTATTTTCAAAAAGTCTTTGACAAGTGACCTGTGACAGGTTATTAAAAAAGCTAACTTGACAGAGGATGGGAGGGAAGGTCCTTTTGTGGTTGGAGAGCTAGTTAGAGGAGAGGACATAACAGGGCTCAGTGGCCACTATTAGGATGGAGAAGAATGAGCAGTGGGGTCTCACAGGGGTTGGTGCTGGGACCAGCTTTGTTCAATGTCTCCACCTGTGACCAGGGACATGCAGTGCGATCTCCAAGTCTGTGGATGATACAGAGTGTTGCTGAGTAGTCAGATCACAGAATCACAGAATTGTTTAGGTTGGAAGGGACCTCTGGAGATCATCTAGTCCAACCTCCCTGCTCAAGCAGGGACCTCTAGAGCATATTGCCCAGGATCGCGTCCAGGCGGGTTTTGAATATCTCCAGCGAAGGAGACTCCACTACCTCTCTGGGCAACCTGTGCCAATGCTCTGTCACCCTCACAGTCAAGAAGTTTTTTCTCAGGTTCAGGTGGAACTTCCTGTGGTTCAGTTTCTGCCCGTTGCCTCTTGTCCTGTTGCTGGGCACCACAGACAAGAGGCTGGCCATCCTCTTGACCCCTCCCTTCAGATTCTTGAACACATTGATCAGATCACCGCTCAGTCTTTTCTTCTCCAGGCTGAACAGGCCCAGCTCTTGCAGTCTTTCTTCCTAGGAGAGGTGCTCCAGCCCTCTAATCCTCTTGGTAGCCCTCCGCTGGACTCTCTCCAGGAGTGCCATGTCTCTCTTGTACTGGGGAGCCCAGAACTGGACACAGTACTCCAGGTGAGGCCTCCCCAGGGCTGAGGAGAGGGGCAGGATCACCTCCTTCGACCTGCTGGCAACACTCTCTCTGCCTAATGCACCCCAGGATCCCATTGGCCTTCTTGGCCACAAGGGCACACTGCTGCCTCATGTTTAACTTGTTGCCCACCAGCACTCCCAGGTCCTTCTCTGCAGAGCCACTTTGCAGCAGGTCAACCCCCAGCCTGTCCTGGTGCATGGGATTATTCCTGCCTAGGTGCAGGACCTTGCACTTGCCTTTGTTGAACTTCAGGAGGTTCCTCTCCGCCCACCTCTCCAGCCTGTCCAGGTCCCTCTGAATGGCAGCACAGCCTTCTGGTGTGTTAGCCTCTCCCCCCAGTTTAGTATCCTCAGCAAACTTGCTGAGGGTGCACTCTGTCCCTTCCTCCAGGTCATTGATGAATATATTGAACAAGACTGGACCCAGTACCGACCCCTGGAGGACACCGCTAGCCACAGGCCTCCAACTTGACTCTGCGCCATTCACCACAACCCTCTGAGCTCGGCCATCCAGCCAGTTCTCAATCCACCTCACTGTCCACTCATCTAGCCCACACTTCTAGAAACTACTAGGTATGCCACTAATCCTGAGAAGCCCTAGAAAGATCTCACCAAATGGCTGCGTAAGAAATAGGGAGCAGGTGAGCCCCAGTGTAGGTAAAGGTGGGGCAATGCATCTAGAGAAAAACAAACTGAACTGGGCCTATGCAGTAAGGAGCTCAGAACAGGTGGTGACAGCCCAGGAAAGGCTATGTAGCCATTGCTGGCAGTGTTCTGAAGTCATCAGCTCAATGTGCAGCCAGAAAAAGCAGTAAAAGGTTGTACATCATCTGAGAGGATACTGAGAACAAAACAGAGCATTTTTAGTCATTTAGCTGCTACATCAAGTCTTGAAGCACCCACACCTGGAGAATTCTGCACAGTTCTGGATGCCCCATCTTTAGGAGGAGGTAGCGGAAGTGGAGAAAAGCAACTGAAATGACTGAGGAGTGGAGAAGCTGCCTTACAAGAGAGGCTGGGACTCTTCAGTCTGCAGAGGAGAAGGCTGAGGAGGATGTGATCAAGATTTACAGAATCACAAAGGGCTGGATCAGATGAACGCACAAGTCTTATTCACCCAACCCCACAGTACCAGATGTAGGTGCACTCGATGAAATGAGATCAGAAAATGACTGGGCAGGGATGACCCCTCTGAGGTCTGCAGTCCAGCAGCTCTGGAGCTGGAGCCCAGGAAGCAGCTGTGTGTGCATGCTTGCCCTGCTTAGCCTCTCTTCTTAACCATGCTGAAGGCAGTTGCTTCTGATGGCATCAATGTTTGTTGCCTGAGTTATGAAAACAGGCAATGCCAGAGAGGTGGTGGATGGATTCAGAGCCCTGCCTGAAAGAACCCTAGTATCTTAGCTATAAACTATGTGAATGGCCTAGTTCCAAACTCCTTGGTCAATGCACCACGAGCAGGTAACAGTCAACGAAAGAGCTGAAAGTGGGATGCACAGATGTATTTGAAGCTCAGTTCACCTCCACCTTAAGCAAGATACATCCTAGGCTGTGATAGATCACTGTTTCTCAAAAATAACATGGTTTGTGAGTTCTCTGAGAACACAGGGTGAATCCCTATGATGAGTGTCTTATAAAGTGGGTGAAACACATCAGATCTGTAAAGAGGAAGGCAGTTTCTCCTCTTGCTCTGTTGTGTGCAAAATTTAGTAAAAAAAAAAAAATCTAGTGCTATTTATTTCCAGGAAACCCATAGAAAGCAAAACTTTCCACTTAGGAAAAGGAAAAGGAAATAAGAAAACAAATTGTTCTTAAGCAGGTGTATGTGCCTGAGCTGAGCTCCGAGTAAACAGCATATGTGGAGAACAGGTAGGAAAATGAAACATGAAATGTAAATAGGAGGAAGAGATGTTATACCAAGTCACTGGAAGAGCGACTGCCTTGATTGATCTGACAGACATCCCTATGAGTGGTTGGAAAAGAGAGAGAAGAAATAACATCACTGAGAACTCAAACTACGTAGACTGGGAGGGACATAGCTCTGCTGAGAGTCTGCCCCCCTCCCATAGCATCATCCTGGGCAGTGTGTGCTCTTGTGGCATTTGACATGCTTTTGACAACCAGCCCTGCTCTACCCTTCCCCACACACTGCGGGTTGTCTGCCCTCAGCAGGATCACAGTAGAGCAGCGTGTTGTGTCAACATATTGATCAGTAATGGTTTTGTGTCATACTTCTTAACTCAAGGGAAAGCCAGAAATGACTAACCCAGGGCATTTCTAGATACCCTGAACTTAACCAGTTCCAAGTAGGTGAGACACATCTTCCTGGAGCCACCAAAAGCTGAGATACCTCGCAAGCTGGATCACCCCTCTTCTTACTTTTTGGAGATTTAGATGCTTTCGGAAGACATATGGCCAGCTGTTCCCCTGTGTCCCATTCTCAGATGCCTGTAGGGTGGTGAAACTGCAGGATCCTGGGGTAGGGGAGTTCGGTGTTGAGACCACTGGCCTCAGAAGATGGTCTCACTGCTTGTAAAAAATGTGAATAAGGAAGATGCAAGGAAGGAATCAATATCTGAAGGTGGAGAGAAGGCCAGGCCAGACATTTGCTTCTAAAAGCTTTCTCCCCTGCCACAGCTTACTTCTTTGAGCTAATTAAGGAACACATTGAACAACAGAAGCTGTGAACAACAAGCACCATGGGAGTTGTTCCTACCTGTGTTTCTCATCTTTTAATCAGTTATTTATCCCCCAACAGATCTGCTTGTGTCACAGCTGTGTCATTTACTTTAAAACTTTGAGAACCTTTGCCCAAAGTCTTTTAGAAATTCAGGGAGATGCCAGCAACCCATATTACCCACATTTCTTGATCCGTCAGAGAACTCCAGGAAGTCTGCAGGACAGGATGTCTCTCTGTAGGGGCCATGCTGGCTTTGCATCTTGGTATTTTAGTACTGCTCACCCCTGTTTGGCTCTTCTCTGCTTATGGACTATTCTCTTTCCTGCTTGCATGTTCACAGCTGGGCTGGTGGCCAGTGTGGGTTGCAGAGGAAGGGGTGGTAGGTTGTGTGATGGCTGCAGCCATGGTTGGTGTCTGCGAAAGGAGGCAGTGGTGCCCAGCATGCTGCCATATGGCACCTTCCTGGAGCCCTGTAGTTATTATACTAAGCTGTTGTGGTTGCTGGAAAGGTTTGAGTTACTGCTGGTCCTGGCTTTGATGCTTGCTTGGCAAGCTCAGTAAGTTCTCCCTGTGGGTTGGGAGTTTGTAATTGTTGCTCAGATCTGCTAAGCTGTTACTTTTGATGTATTTTGATCTTCTATTAATGTGCACTGCGTTTCTCACGCAGGTCTATAGTCTAAAAGAGAGATTAAATGATGTACCTTTGTCCTATAAGGACTTTTTAGGTGAAAGCAAATGATTAGGAACTGTTGGGATGAACTATCTTCTCTACATGTTTCCCAGTGGAAATGAGCGTTACTTTGGCTAAAAGATGGGCTTCATAATTTTATTCCTGGGAGATAAGAAGGTTCATAGAGCTTGCCATGCCATTTGCTCCAAATAACCTCACAGGATTGCATAATGTTCACTGTACTGAAATACACCTTGGTTTTGGAGTGATATATGCAGATATGAAACCTATCATCCACAGCCACATCTTCCAGGCTTAGCACTAAAGGTGAGCACATATGGCCAGACCAAGACTGGTCTGGACTGCTATCCCATTTCCAGGTCACTTAGGGGAGTGTGTAAAAACAGGGTGAATATACAGTATTATTTTCCTCAATATGTTCTTACATCTTCCAGTGATCTCCAGGTGAGAGATTTCCTGAGCCTGAGGTTGTGCTTTCATGTTTAATAACCTGTAATGGGTTTTTCTTCCATCTGTTTTTCCAGTCACTTTTTAAGCCCATCCAGACGTTTGGTGGCCGTGACATTTGGCAGATCATAGGGCTGCAGTTTAATTGCGTGCTCTGTTATGTATGCCTTTGTTTTCTCATCATCGCTAGGATGCATGACTTGAACGACTTCTCAGCTCACGTCTGGTTTGAGGTTCTCATACCCAAACAAAAAGATCTTGCCCATTCTTTCTATTCTTTTCTATTTAAGTGATCCAAGGGAGCTTCTCCTTGTAGCTGGCACCAGAGTGGGATGTGGGGCCATGTAGTCCGTCGCCTACTATTCTTTCCTCTGTTGCCTTTCCTCCATCACGTAGAGCTTTGAACTTGTCATGTTGCATCACATACTATTTTTTTCAGGCATTGTCTGTAACCTGGGCTCACTGAGTGTTTGCTGTCTCCCTGCCCTCCTCCCCTGCCAGCTCTGTATTGCCATCAGTGCAGTGAGGCTACATTGTTTTCTACTGTAAATTTTGTCAATATAAAAGCCAAATAACCCTGGGCTGCAGGTGGACAAACCATGAAAACCATGGCAAAACCATGAAAATTCCTGTCATACCGTGTATAATTTTTCGAATATTTGTTATCCAGAGCCTTCCTTACAACTTCTCTTCACAAATACTGCCTAGTGGTGTTAGGATTAGCAACGTGCTGCCTGGCATTGCTGTGTACGGTTGTTGCAGTCTGTGGTCTCTCTGTTTTATAACGGGATTATAGTCCTTCCAGTCCAGGACAGTCTTTGGCTACGGGGCTGCACAGTACCAAACACAATCACATCGCAGCCCTTTCTGGGGTCTCTTAGAGTGCTTATGCCTGCCTGTACAGGATGAAATACTGGCCAGAATCACATGCTTTTAACTAAAGGGTAGGACACAGTCTGGCTCCCTCCAGATCTTATGGATTTAAACTATGGGCAAGATGTGTCTAAGGCTGTCCAGCTGGAAATGTGTACCAGGCAGGATGGGAATTGTGCTATATAACAGGCTGCTTTCTGCCTAGCCATGGAGGGCCCAGTGCAGCTTGCCACACTCCAGTTGCTGCTCTTCCTGCTGCCACCCTGCCACAGCGACACACTGTACCGGCTTCTACAGTTCCTCAATGAGGTGGCCCAGCACGCCGAGAGCTCCCAGGGCCCTGATGGCCAAGAGGTAAGGCTGGCCCGAAAGGGTCAACTGCATAAAGAAGGAATTATTTCATTTTGTTGGTCAAAACCAAACAGGGGAAAAAATTCTAGGGTAAATCTCAATGAAATGAAAAACCAGTTCAGGAAAATATGTCCTTTGATCTGAAAAAGCATATCCTGCCTTGTCTTTGAACATTTTAACATTTATTTCCCCACTAAAGGGACTGGAAGGAAATATCAGACTGACTAGAGAAGCTACAATATTTCATTAAGAAAAAACAAGTCAGAAACCCTTTGTTTCAAATTTTCAGGAAGTTTTTTTGGCAGTCCATTTTTTTCTAAGATGAAACAACATACAAGTGTCATGAATTCCCAAAGGTTATTGAGTTGGATTCCCATGCTCATCCTGCCTGTGTCTGTGGGAAGGACAGCTTTACAGAAACTGGGACAGACAACACTTTAAAGCATAGAAGAAGAAAAAAGAGAGAAATAGAGATAAAACAAAAACAAAATCGTAACTAAATCCCCTCCTCTATGCTGCATCCTTTCTTTTGGGTCTCTCTCAGTCTAGCTAAGCGATTTTCTGGGTCACAATAACCCCAGAGAGGCCTGGCTGTGTGTCTGCTCAGGCCTTTTTTTGTGGCCTAATTTTGTTTTTCCACCTCCAATTTTCATAAAGAATTTGTTATCATATACTGAGGATGATTTTGGTTTCTCTGGACAATTAGAGCTCTAAGTCTCGGCATGATACAAAGGCTTTGTCCCGTAGTATAAGATGATGTAGAAATGCTGGCTGTTACCTTCTGGTATGGGTTTTGAAAGTGAGTTAAATGGGAATGGAGTCCCTGATGCAAGGAAAGGGAGAAAGTGTGCTCCAGCACCACAAACCTTTTGTGCTGGCCCTGTGACCAGACTGGACATCAACATCTCTTCCTTACATGGTAGCTTATGTCCCTGTCCAGGGTTGGGCTAGGGTATCCAGGGATGTTTCATGCCACCGCAGCTGTAATCTGCAATTTCTGTCTGTGCTTGCTTGCCAGATTCCTGGGAATAAAATGACAGTCTCAAACTTGGCCACAATCTTTGGCCCCAACATTCTACAGAAAGAGAAGCCTGGAGAGAAGGACTCTAGTGCCATGGACATTGAAGACAGCACTGCTGTCATACGGGTGCTCCAGAGGTTGATTGAGCACTACCAGGCCTTGTTTATGGTAGGTGAGGTTTTCTCATAGCAGGCCTTTCTAGCCTCTTCTTCCCCTCTGAAGTCTTTTCTAAAGACAGCCCACTTAGCAGCAGGCAACTGGAGCTGGCTTGCAAAGATATGATCCATTCCTCATGTCAGGTGTAAATATTAATTCAGGATGGCTTGTACCTGGCTGCATAAATGCTGGGTCATGCCATGAACATATCATCTCTCCGTCTCTCAATGGAAACATCCTTGTGATAGCTGATCAAGCTAGTTGGGACAGGAAACCACAAACCAGCAACAATTGTAGGGGCAGTTAACCTCAGTCCTATTTCTTCCCCAGTGTCTCTGTGAAGGGGGAAAAAGGAAAAAAAACGGGAGATGCAGGAAGGAGCTGGAAGTTGATGGTGTGGGGAGCAGGCAGTGCAGCCTTAGACTGATGAGGGCAAGGAAGTAAAAGTAGGGAGAGGCAGTGGGAGGGGGGGGAGTAGTGGGAGGTGGGATTACTTCAGATCTGCTCTTCAAATGGAGAGTCTGGACCACCAGTGTCAGGCAGGGAGTGCTTTTACCTGGGAGACCAGCTGTTCAGGAAGTAGAGCTAGCAGTGCCAGGGCAAGGGATGGAGACAGAGCTCCAGCACTATGGCTCTGTTGTAGCTTGGATGGGGCCCAAACAGCCCAACTTGACTGCCCGCCAAGTGCCTGATTTGGATCAAGGGACAGCTGTCCTTCTCTCCTAATCCACCTGCTTTCCTACTGTCTCCTGCAAGCCCATGTTGTACTCTGGGGCTGGTGAGTGAGGGGCTTTTGGGCTCACAATCCCTCTGATGAAAAGACATCCCAGGAGCAGTCATGGAGCAGATGCTGGACAGCCTGTGACTGTGGCCTAAGGAAGTCCTGCTCTGGCCAGTTGTTCAGGTGGACTTTAAGCCTTCACTGTGGCACTTTCTGCTCCGTCCTTGTTCAACCAGGCCCAATGCTTCTCCTCACCTTTCTGGTGATGCTTATGGAGAAGAACAGGAAGAGGTGCAATGCTGTACATGAGCACAGGATGGGTCACTTGGTACAGATTATGAGGTGGGGGTAGCAGATGAGTACAAATAGCCCTGCAGGGTTTGCAGGGAGGACCGCAGCCAAAGAGGTCGCATGGGGTACTTTACATGGACTCAGGCACTCCAAAGCAGTCCCCTGAGAACGTGATGCAGATGGGTGCTGTGCTGTAGTGCTTCTGCAGAGGCTATTCTCCTTGGGAACAACCTAATTGGAACTGTGTAGCTGTTTCCAAACCACAGAATAAACATTCTGGATGAGCAGAGTATACATCGAGCACTTCTGGTCCTGGTTTTGGGAGGAGACCTGGGAAATTCCAGAGAAATACCAGAAATGGCCATTTCCTGTGGATGTATGGGAGTGTGACATCTCAGGCCCCTGAAAAGCCTTGAAACAATTTCCCCCATATCTACAGGGAGACAATGAACTGGGGGTTAGTGTGGAAAGAGCATGGAATGGGATCCCGTACAGACTTCCTGAGAGATGTGGGGAGCGTGACACCAATACAGAGTGTTTGTGAGCAAGTATTGATATGGAGACCCTTTGGCCTTGCAGCTTATGGCCTTGGTTATCTTTGTTAGTTTTCCTCTCGGAGAGAAGGTGCCATGTATATGTATATATCTCTCCTAGGTCTCTCCAGAAATGCAACATGACATCTTAAGGAGACTATTTCAGACAGACCCTGATGTCATAGATTACCTCTTGCGCAGGAAGTTCAATACCGTGCTGTAAGTCCTCCTTGAGACACACTGTGCAGTGCTGCTGGATGGTGCCTTGCTGCTCAGGGGCAAAGCCTTCACACAGCAACACTCATTACACTGCTGGCAAGCTACAGACAAATCCTCTTGGTCATTCACGTGCTCCTCTTACCACCAATCTTTCCTGTTCCTTTTATCACTTTCAGTCATGAACTCCCCATCTAAAATCCTTCATTTTCTGTGCTAGACCCTTCCACCAGCTGAAATATCCCAGATCAGCTCTCCCCCTTGGAGCTCCCTATTCTCTGTCTTTCTCCCCAGCCTGTGTTATATTCTCTCCTTCCCCTAAATCTGCCTTACACAAGAATTCCTTCATTGCACACCTCTTTTTGTGTGTATATCTAAGCAGCCCTTATCCTGCTACCCTCCCAGTCTCCTCCACTGCCCCAGCTTCTCAGAATCATACAGCAATGCCTACTCTACTTTCAGCTCCATTACCAGCCTCCAAATTTTCTTCACCCTTGGTGTTGTCTGCGTTCTTGTGCGTTTTGCCCCTCCTTTGTGCATCTGAATAGGCGTGTATGTGTGTGTGTGAGACTGCCAGCTATGTCCTGCACGTGTGCTTTTTGGCTGCAAGACAGGATAGTCCCATAGAGGCCCAGAATTTTAATTCATGCCCTTCCCTGCAGGTCAAGAAGGTGGGGTAAGAGGGCCTTGCATCCCATGAGCTGGTGTGGGGAGCTACCTTCATCATAGCATGTGACAAAGGAGGTGTTTTGCTCCCTGTGACCTGAAGTAGGATGTGCTCATCAGCCTTCAGGCTGACTCTTTCACAATGTTATAGTGTAGGCTCTCCTGTGGGAAATGGTTTCCAGGACCATGGACCGTATGAGTGATATCTCTGCTACTGGTGCCTGTGGCAGAACAGTGCTTGAAGAGGAAAGTCCCCTTCCATCCTTTTGGCATTGTGCTTTCCTGAGCTTGGCGCTCCAGCCAGGAGCAGGTCACATGTCTCAGGCTGGAGAACCACAACAGCTCAGGCAGGAGCAGAGCCATCTTAGCATTCTGCTGGTTCCCTTCGAAGTGGACTTGCCAGCCCCAAAAATACAGTGTGCCCCTGCCTAAGATCACTTTGCCTCTTGCTATGGGTCATGGCAGACTACAGTTTTCATGATCATTCATTGACGGCATCTGAACCTTCATATCTTCAGCCTTTTGTGACTAGACACTAACTTCATTTCAGTATTCTGCTTTCCTGTTTTCTTATTGTCACACTTAGAGCTTTTAGAGACAGTTCGTGGAGGTGTTTTTTTGAGATGCTCCTTGGCTTCATGCAGAGGATTTCCCCAAGCAGTGATGGTTCAGCCATACTTCAATGTACAGCTCTTCCACACCACCAAAAATGGGGGGAAATGGGAAGGAAAGGCAGGTTAGAGCCATCTTTTGCTGAAGAATACCAAAATACACAATCAATCGGAAAAAGGAAAATCATAATACAGTAGTTTTAAGCTCTCAGTGTCAGGAGGCAGACAGGAATGTCTTTGCCAAGACTGACAAAAGGCTGGGGTGGGATTCTTGGATAGTAGATAATATATGTCATCATAAGATACATTTTGATTAAGTATTATTATGTAATAATGAAAACAAAACAGTTTATGAGGTTGTCCGTGATCCATCAATTTCCTGGGTATATGGATCTACTGTTGAGGACTTTTAGGTATTTACATGCAAGTTACCTGTTTGACATCATCACAAACTCAGTATAGAGAAAAGTCAGAACAAGAAATCATAATAGGAAGAACACTCCTAAACCTCAGCCCAATGAAACTAACTGTTTAATCTGTGAGAGAAGTTAAGATAATGTCAAACTTCAGACAATTTAAAAAAAAATCTTACTTCATATTCCTTTTGAAACTGTGCAAAGAGATGGCAAATATTTGTGGTCACTGCTACAGTCCATTTGGATGGGAGGGGGCTAGCATTAGAAGCAGTTTGCAAATAGCATCTGTGTTTTCTTTCCTTTCTCAGGAGCATAGAGAGTGAGCCTTTGACAGAGGAGAGTCCACCATCCCCACTACCCAGTCAGTCCTGCACCCTGGAAAGAAACCAGGTCTCGTCAGAGTTATACAGCAGTGTCTCATTCCTAAACCTGGATGTTGGCATGTAGCAAGCCTGAGACAGCTCCTGGTACTGCTTTCCATGGACAGAACTGGGCAAGCTTTCCACCACAAAAATAAGTCCTCTATCCCGCTTCAGAGGAGTAGAGAAGTGCAGGGAATATGAATCTCTGTGGGAAATTCTTTGTTAACAGTAAACGTACCAAATTGTTCTGGTGGGCAATGTATTTGCAGGTTTGCAACAGCAGGTTTGGTTTTTTAAAGCATGGGTTTGTTGCTAGATGGCAATGGCGAACTGCATGCTTGTGTGGTGAAAGCAGTGGCTGTGCATGCAGGTAGTGGTATACGTAGGTGAGCGTGCCCTGCAAGTGAGCCAAAAAGCCTCTGGTGTGTGCTGTGGCCCATTTGCAAGTTTGAAATGGTGCAGTGCCTTCAGCACAGCAGAGCCTCTGTGATCTACTGTTTGCCTCATAGGTGTTTGAGACTTCTGTCCCCAGAGCTGGACCACTTGACTTTCTCCTGCCCTATGCAATTGAAAACTCACACATCCAGGCCACTTGAGGAGGGCACTCAGCTGATATATAGGTAATTGTGTGAGAAAAATACATTTGTGTATGAGCTCACATCTTAGGGTTAGCAACACACAGGATGGCAGACTGCCAGGTGGTTTTGTGGCATCTCTGTTTGGGGAGCACAGCCTCTCGCCCTCCGAATGACTGCCAGGTGAATGCCACAGGGCAGCAAACTGGAGCAGATGGAGGAGCAGCAGCGGAGATCTCTGAAGTGGAAGGCCACATGTAAGCTTCATGTCATGGGAGCTCAGCAGATGGGACAGAGTCCAAAATAGCCCTCACCTATTGCACATCAGGAGTTTGCTGGGGTAAGTGCACCTGGGCTCTGGTGGAGTTCTGCCCACCTGTCTGCAGCTTGCAGGGCTACTATAAATGGGGTGCTGAGGATAGAAAATGCAGTTCAGCATTATACAGTCTGTGCTTTGGGATTCTATTTACTGTTTGTTGTTGTAACATGGGTATATGCAGAGAGGACTCCATTTTGGAGCTAAAGAAGTACCCATGCAGACCAAGCAAAGTGCTATTACTACAAAGAGGCCATGGTCCCACCATGTTCAAAATGAATCGCAGCTTTTTTTTAATTTGAAGATAGGTTTTAATGGCTCATTTTATAGACAGAAAACCCTGTAATGTCCCCAAAATGGGGACATGGTGTAATAAGTGGGAACGCTGTATTCTTCAGATTATGAACTTTTTTCCTTGAGTTAATGCTCAGTAAGTAAAACCTCTAGGATATTTTAAAGTTTCTGGTGTTTTTTAATGGTCTTTCACTAAGAACCTAAGAGGCCCCATCCTCTTGACATCCTCCCTTCAGACACTTATCCACACTGATCACATACCTCCCTCCTCCCCCCCCCCGCCCCCCCCCCCGAAGTCTTCTCTTCTCCAGACTGAACATGCCCACCTCTCTCAGCCTTTCCTCATAGGAGAGATGCTCCAGTCCCCTCATCATCTTTGTAGCCCTCCACTGGTCTCACTCCAGGAGTGCCATGTCTCTCTTGTAGTGGGGAGCCCAGAACTGGACACAGTCCTCCAGGGGAGGCCTCCCCAGGACTGAGGAGAGGGGCAGGATCACCTCCCTCCACCTGCTGGCAACACTCTGCCTCATGCACCCCAGCATACCATGGGCCTTCTTGGCCACAAGGGCACACTGCTGGCTCATGGTTAACTTGTTGTCCACCAGCACTCCCAGGTCCTTCTCGGCAGAGCTACTTTCCAGCAGGTCAACCCCCAGCCTGTCCTGGTGCCTGGGATTATTCCTGCCTAGGTGCAGGACCTTGCACTTGCCTTTGTTGAACTTCAGGAGGTTCCTCTCCGCCCAGCTCTCCAGCCTGTCCAGGTGCCTCTGAATGGCAGCACAGTCTTCTGGTGTGTTAGCCTCTCCCCCCAGTTTAGTATCCTCAGCAAACTTGCTGAGGGTGCACTCTGTCCCTTCCTCCAGGTCATTGATGAATATATTGAACAAGACTGGACCCAGTACCGACCCCTGGAGGACACCGCTAGCCACAGGCCTCCAACTTGACTCTGCGCCATTCACCACAACCCTCTGAGCTCGGCCATCCAGCCAGTTCTCAATCCACCTCACCGTCCACTCATCTAGCCCACACTTCCTAAGCTTGTCTACGAGGATGTGATGGGAGACAGTCAAAAGCTGAAGTCCAGGGAGACAACATCCACTGCTCTCCCCTCATCTACCCTAGCCAGTCATTCCATCATAGAATGCTATCCCTTGGATTCCCTTTGGTGAATCTGTGCTGACTACTCCTGATACCTTCTTGTCCTCCAGATGCTTAGTGATGCCCTCCACGATGAGCTGTTCCATCACCTTTCCCGGGATGGAGGTGAGGCTGACAGGCCTGTAGTCTGTAGGTCCTGCAGGAGTATCTGGCTGGGCTCAGCCTTCAGGAGCACATGCGTCTTTGTCCTGGGGAACACTGCTATCCTGCCAGATTGGCCGCAATAGTGGAGTAGCCCCCATGTACCACTGCCGCTTCTGCTCCCACAGTCACCCTTTCCCCTGCACAGACAGGCAGAGCTGCTGTGGCTCATGAGGTTTGGGGCCTTGTCAGAGTCCAGGTGGGCTGACAGCTCCTAACACTGAGTCTGTTCAGGAAAGGGGAAGGAACAAGAGAAGATGAGCATGCAGGCCTGTGCTGGGCACAGGAAAGTGGAGGATAGAGGTATAGACAGTGTGGTGGCCTTGGTCCTTGGCTCATTGGTGGAGAACAGCCCCAGCACAGTGTGGCAGCAGTCTTTCTCTGCAGGTCTGCAGGGCCAGCCCCAACAGCTGGGAGTGACTGTGGGAGCCCTGGCTCCGTGGCACAGCAAGTAAAGGAGGGCCTGTGTGAACTTGGGCCTCAGGCCAGGGTCTGCTCCCCATGCCCGCTGCTGTCCTGAAGAAGGAGGAGAAGACAGGCTCAGCGGGAGATAAGGAGCCCTCTCCTCTTCCCCAAGCTTGGGGGGTTACGTCTCCAAATGTGAGGTCTCAACTTTTCAGTTTAGCTCTGAAGGTCACTGAGGTGGCAATGAGTTTATAGAGCTGTGGCTGAAGAGGATACTTGCTGAGCTGTACATCTCTGCCTTGGGATCTCTCAAGGATGCTACCACCATGGACAGAGGGTCTTCCTAGCCCAGGGTAACCAGCACCCACAGTCCAAAGGAGGGTCCTCTTGAAAAGAAATGGCCTCATACCAAACCCAATGAAAGCAGCTGAAAGTGAAAGTACAAAGCCAGGTCTCAAGGGAAGAGTCATGAAGGCCAGCAGGGTTCAGCTGTGGCTTCATGTGTCAGGACTTGTCCTTCAGCAGCCCTGATTCCTCCTGGTCTCCTCACTGGAGCAGCCAGGGACCAGTCTGAGGCAAGCTGGGCTGGTTTGCCCAACAGCCATGCTGAGGGGGAATCACTTGGCAGCTCAGTACAGAAGTGCTCCATCAACGCTGGTGTCCTGCCCTGTTTGTGAGCAGGATCCCTGTGGCTTGTCTGGTGTGCCCCACACCGCCCTAACAGTGCCATGGCTTTGGCCACCCCCTGATAGCATCAAGAGGATGATCTGAAAATGTCTGAGCCTTTCTTTACCACCAGCCTCAGCCATGTATCCAGCAGTTGGTACCCGAGACCTCTCACAAGACAGTGCACCTTCCCAGCCATGCTGCTCAGGGGTGAAATCTTGTGTCCTAGAGGCCCTTCCCCTGTGAATGGGTATGGGTGGGGTGGGTGGAAAAATAGTTCCCAGAAAACAACAGAGAAGAGAGGAAAAGTATGTGCTGTGAGATAGTGGGTGGAAGTCTCCCAAGAACTGATAAGCTCTAGGGACTAGCAGTGCTGTTGAATCTGCAAGAAGTGATAAACTCAGGACACCGTGAGTCTGCCGAATCTGTCCAAAGCCACCAGCACGCACTAACATCAACAGCCACTGCATAACACAGACCATATCCAAGGAGGCAGTGACTGCTCTGTGAAGATAGACTATGGGATAATCCCACCAGTCCTGTACCCGGTGGAAGAGCAGATCCTGAGGGACTTTACAAATGCCTTCCTAGAAGCCTCTGGCACATTGGTGCAACTGTCCATTCCTCAGGCAGCAGCTGGGGTCAGCCTCCTGGGTCCTGCTGTCCCTGTATAGCTCTGAAAGCAAGTGCATGACCTATGTGAGTGAGTGAGTATGTTGTGAGCCTAGTTATCACCTGCTGGTAATAACAGCTGAAGTCTGTTAAGAGTAACATCCTAATGAGGAAAAGGTGTTCTAATAATTTTTGGCTCTGATTTGATCCTCTATGAGGGAAAAGGGAACGTACAACACTTGGACACCTCTCCTATGTCACCTGAGGGGGAGTACAGAGATGGAACCTTGGCTTGGGAGAAACTGAGGACCCCCTCTCACCTCTCTGTCTGCTTTGCAGTGCATGGAGACTGGCAGGGGTAGCTGCCTGCTGGAGCAAGGCTGTGGATGCCAATATGTGTGCAGTCCCTGTGCCACCACAGCAGGTGATAGGGGGGATTTGTCCCATGGGGCTGGTTGGAGAGGACGTGGTCCCTCCAGCCCAAGTGGGAGACAGGGCAGTGCTCGCCTGTGACTGCACCACGGCAGGCTGACATGGAGGGGAGCTGAGCCTTGGGCCTGCAGGGACTGCTCTATAGCAGAGCGTTGGTTAGAGAGAAAGGCATGTGTCATGAATGTCTGTAAGCATAGCCTTGAGAGATGCAGAGAACCAAAAAACAGTGAGCACCTCCTAGTGCAGAGATCTGTAACAGAAATACTAAGGTTGATATGAGTGAAGTATAAATGGAAATATGTGTGAAAGCACAGGAAGAAACAGCAGAGCAAAAGGTTAAAAGAATGGCCTGTATAGATAAAGGAGGACACTGCTCTCAGGACATGGTTTAGAGCTTTTGTAAATAAATATAATCTTCCTCTTCTGTAAGATCTCTCACTGTTTTATTACACAAATTTCCCTACCTTTAAATAGTGGAGAATGTAAAAGATTTTGTCCAGTAGAGCTCATACACTTGTTGTTCTGGAGATAATAACTGGTTGGATCCTTGAGGGTTGATAGTTGTTTGGAATAGCAGTAGAGACAAAAGGCCCGAGGTCTGCTTTATTTTTGAATATGCAGTGCGTAGGGCCTTTGTGAGTGATTGCAACTGAAGATTTTGAAACTTATGGGATCCTAATGAAGTGTGTACTACTTTGATGCCAGCTGAGCCTAGCAGACTAGTTTTGCAGGGCTGAAGGCTGTGTTTGGAAATGTGTTGACAGGTTCTGTAGGATTCACTGATGGGAAGCATGTTGAAGAGGAAAGTAGGTAAAGGAACTGGTGGTGATTTGTACCCTCATCCAGACATAGATCAGAAAGACCAGAGACCTAGTGCTGGACTGAGAGAGCTCTGCCAGGTAATGTGTCTGATTTAGAGGATGCCTTTAACAAACACTGTACATTGTACAAAGTGGAAGGAGAGAAAGAGTGGCACCTGCTGTGCAGTTCCTTTGGCATGCCTTCCAAAAAGCATTAAAAGAAAAAAACAAGTCACATATGGGGGAATACTTGATAGTTAGCAGAGGTAGAGAAAACAGATGAATACCACCATCACCAGCAACCAAAAGCTGCAGATTCTTATTGATGAACTGCAAGATCATATGCCTGATTTGTAAGCTTGTGTAGGCACAACTACACAAGAGTCATCTGAGTACAAGCAATAGGAGGAGCAAGTGAGTGGATCACAAGGCTTCATCACTTTAGGGAACGAGGGCTATGGGAAGGGGCCACAGGTGATCTGTGAATCTACAAGAAGCTGCAAAAACCACCACAGATGGCCTCAGTGGTAAGGGATGGCTCATTTAGGTCTGTAGATTGGTAGATATTGGCTGATAGTGATAATGATGCTTCAAATGGGGACACCTGGAATGACCCTGACCTATAGGAAACTGATATCCCTGGTAGTATGGGTGTAGTGAGGAAAGTTTTCTAATCAAGAGACTACGTGGGTAGTATAAAATCCCAACCTGTAACTCATGCTTGCTACATCTTGTGATCTCCAAGTGATGGTGAAGGATTTGGGAAAATGTGAGAATCATAACAGTAGCTGACTGATTTAATAGAGCTTCCACAGTAAAGGAGGCAAAAATTTAGATGCAGAAGAACTTGTGTGGCTGTGCCAAACAAGTACATCTGAAGATGCAGTTAATATCACTCAGTTTAAGTTCAAGGGACACGATAATCCAAACATGAGGGTATACTGAAACTCTATGTTATTTTCCTTGCTTAGCAAGAACATTTCTTTTAAAGTTTGTTTTCCAAATTTCCCAACACCGGACGGGAGATGACAAGTTACTCAGGGTTCATCAGGCAACATACCATCTTTCCCAGTCGATTCAAACAAATCTGCCTTTCAATTTTTATTTTATTTATTTATTTTTTAAACTGCATAAAAGGTAAAAATCAGTGTGGTTGTAAGGGCCTTTCTTGAAGCCCATCACAAAACTTCAGAAGTGCTTAGTGCAGGTCGACACAGAAAATTAGGATATTGCTAAAATCTCCACTTGAGGGCAACACCGCGCTGCTGACTAGTCATCGCTGCTCTGTCCTGAATCCGTTACTTCATGAAATACATACCTGTGGCCAATCTTACAGACGTTTTTCTAGAGAGCAACACATACACTTTTTTCCTCCCTCAAAAGTGCACTAACTCTCACCAACTGCCATGCACAAGTAGTAATTTATAACTTGTTTTATTTCAGCCTCACAAAATAAACAGTACTTCACAAGTCAATGGCAAAGAGCCATCGTTCATAAAGCATTAAGGCTGCTCTGTACCTGCTCAGGTACTGGCCACGTAGGCCTGCCCTTTAGAATTATATAGTATAAGATTTAAGGATAAAAATAAAACTAGATCCAGGCAAATCTGGTCAGCTTTTGTTGGGCTTCAGATTTAGTTATCATTGGCTTCTTTCCTCTTCCTTCCCTCCCTCACCTCCCTAGTTAAAAAAATAGCCCGAATTTGCAAGCCCCCATAATTTCCTCTTTTAAAACAATCTGAAAGTTTCCGTCCAGATGCTCCTAGACCTCAGGTGCCAGGATGGAGGTTGTTTGCTGTAGTGGGTGGTTGTCGGTTGGTTGGTAGCACTAATACCAATGACATTTCAGACCACTCATCACTGGAGGGGTTTTTACAGTTAGACAAGTTTAGGGGTGCTCTTCTAGGGAATCCATGTTATTAATGCCAACATTTGAATTCAAGCCACTGCATAACTTTTTAAAAGCTTTCAAATTCAGTTTGTCTGCATTAAAGGGAAGCATTACAGCCAAGACATATACCGATACAAGACTTCAGGACACAGTGGACAATAGTTACCAGGGAGGTAAGCAAAAGTAACAACTCTCTACACAGTTTTCATGATCCAGTCAAGGATCTTGTCGTGTGTTTAACAGCTTTATAAAAATATTCTTTTACCAACATTTATAGGAATAAGGTCCCACAGACACCACAGACACCACCAGCAAGAGAGGTAAAACAAGGAGTATCTTGCAACAAGTCATTCATGAACAAGTAAATGACAGCATAGCCAACAGCAAAGATATCATAATCTTTTTTTTTCTTTTAAACTATATGTCTTCCTCACACTGCTGATAAGTATACACATGTAGGTAAACGTTGTGTACAGTATCACTTAACACTTCATCAAGTCCAATTCCCATGGTAAAGTGAAAGAACTTAAATGACTCAAAACAAGTCCCTTCCATTTTGATAAAAGTATTGCTTTATCTGTATTTTTGGGGCCACTGAAACTGTGTGAAGGTTTAAATCCAGAGAGGACAGGGGACAGGCTCATGTGGCAAATAACAGTGCCCCAAGCTCTTTAAGCAGTGCTGAGTACTGAGGGATCAATACCTGAACACGTCTGAGAGGACCTAAAAAGCCAGTGAGAATACACCCGAAGCTGAAAAGAGCCATTAGATCAAGGAGGCTAACTGGCAATAAGGGCAATATGGAACACAAATTAGTTGTGTAATTTTTTCTTGCCTTTGGAGCAAGAGCAAAAGATCTGGAACAACCCAAAGCTGGCTGAGTGCCAGCACCCATCACTACCCAGCAAGAGAGGAACTACTGGGTGTGTGTTTGGGGGAGGAGGGGTGTTCCAGCTCCCAACAGGTTGTGTCATTCACAGTAAAAATCACAGAACAGGGGATTATAGTGGCATAGCAAATCAGAGCTTGGTCACTCCCACCGCAGCGGGTGACAATGCTCTAATACTACTTCCCGTAACCATCTCAAATGACAAAAAACAATTTCTTCTAAATGGAAGTTCTCTATAGTGAGGTCTGAAATCATGTCCTGCCCAACCTTGCATTCAAAAGAACTAGAGATGCTGATAAAATGCTGCTGACACTAGCAGTTTATTGGTATGTTTAGCCAAACATTAAAACATGGAAATTAACATCAAAAATAACTTCCAGCTGCAACAATGAACTAGGCTCTACTACCATGTAATGCTGGGCATGCTACAGCCATCAAGATGATAATCAAGTCTTTTATACCTACTGGAGCCCACCTGGGTGACTAGGTTTTGCAGAAATCAAACCACAGTGACAGAGTACTGTCCCCACCTACAAATCAGCAATTAACAGCAATGAGCAGTAAATCCCCTCGTCTGCACTCAGGTGTGTATTTACTGAGAAAGAGACCAGAAAACTGAGGAGTCCCTGGCACAGTGAGGAAACACTCACCAGGTAAATGTCTGGATAACATTCTAGTATTTTTTTGGTGTCACTTAAGCAGCCAGCCAGCCAGAGCTTAATGGCTGAGGATCTCTTCTGTTTGCCAATTGTTGCTGCTGAAATTACCCAGCATTGAGCTGAACAGTGGTGTTTGCTGCAGCTGTTGTTGATGGGAATACGCTCCAGAGTGTCATCCAGCAACGGACCTCTCAACTCAGAAAAAACACAAGTAAAACTGAAGAAGACAAGGTCTCCCTTCTGCCCTTAAATCCAGAGTCACAAAGGTGTCAGCATCATCTAATGGTTATGTACAGGAGTAAGAGACAAAAGCACAAAAAACAGCACAGCCAGAAAACAACAGAAGCGTTGCACACAGGAATTGCCAGCTGTACATAAGGAAAAGCTTTTTTTTTTTTTACTATGAGCGAGCACTGGAGCAGGATGTCTAGAGATGTTGTGGAGTTTCCCTCCTTGGAGATATTCAGAAGCCGTCTGGATGTGGTCCTGGGCAGCGTGCTCTAGGTGACCTTGGTTGAGCGGGGGGGAGCTGGACTAGATGATCTCCAGAGGTCCCTTTCAACCTTAATCCCTCTGTGATTCTGTTTTGTCCTCTGCAGACTACAGTCTCCCCCTGTGATATGCTCATCCTCCCAAAGGGTGTTCACTTTCATAATTCAGGGATGGCAAAAAACATTTCAGAGCTCTTGACCAAGTCTGGAATCCACCAAGGCAGGATGGATTGAAACTGCCTACCAAGTCAAAACCACCAATCATCCTAAACCTAGAAAGGACAAACCAGCTTTCAGCTCTCTCCCCTCATGTAAACAGTGGTCCTTAAATTTGGATTCGACCTTAAAATACCTAGGGCTTCCAACAGAATTATCTTTAACACACACATCCCTCCTCAGAAAAGATCTATTGAGAGGGACTGATGAGATTTTAGGCAGTTAGGGGAATGCAACCTCTGTAAAAAGCAATCATAGCCTGAACTCACCATTTCCAAACCAACAGACCAGAGTTGGAGCACACTACCTCCATTGCCCCCCCTTGTCTCCACCCCAGACAGTTGCTGTATTAATGCAAACACAAGGTCAGAATATATTGATGGCTTTTCATTCCTGGTAGGAGCAGAAGATGCACAAGTCACGAGTGCAGAGAAGTAAATGCACTCCTGTAATGGGTGAGTGTATCCCTTCAGTCGGTTTTCTAAGGTTACGGCAAAAATCCAAGCACGTGGTCTGCACTGTGTCTTTGTGACAACTCACAAATATCAGCCAGCTAGAGGTTAAAAGCAAAGGTAGAAATGATTGTAGACTACAAGATTGGATTAGGCAGCTGGTGCTTTCCTTTGGCAAGGGGACAGGGGAGAAAGAGCAAGGAGCGAAAGGGCAAGAGGAGCAGAGGAGAAAGAAAATAAGCTGTGAAACAAACTCTCCCACACTGAGGGGACCTGAGTCCACGGAGAGCATGAACAAAGGGTGAGCCCCGAGCAGAGGAGGCAAAGCTTGGCTGAAAGCGAGTGAACACAGCATGGAAAAATCATTCTGCATTTCAAGAGAGGTTAAGCTCTTGAGCGAGATGCATGGAGAAACCGAGCACTTAAGAGGAACTTCAAGGATCTCGAGAACATAAGTTATTTCCACAGTAGGGATGACCTCACTCAGCCTCGCTGTCCCGTGGCGAGAAGGGGGGGTCCCGGCCCCCGCAGGGTGTCATCTGGGCAGCCGAGCCGAGCGTGTGCGAAGAGGACGCAGGCCTGAGTGTCGACCGAGAGCAAAGGCAAGGGGCGACCTGAGGGGGGGAGGAGCTGAGCGGGGCGAGGGGGGCGCTGCCCCGGGGGCCCGGGGCGGCCGGGAGGGTGAGGTTCCC